TTTTTTTTTTGGTCAAAGCGAGCAGGTTCAGAGAAGGGTGGTGGGCAAATCAAATTAACTCCACGGTTATCCAATTTTTTTCCATTTCAAAACCAAGAAATTTTTCAATCCAAAAATCGGAAAATGCATGGACTATGTACATTCTGGTAACAACATTTCAAGGATTTCAAAATTCGGGCACTGTAACTGAAAAAAAAAATTGTCAGCTGCTCAGCTGAAGAAGCTAGCTAGCTACTTATAGCTAACTGTTCCAGGAAATATTCCAAGCACACATACTTATGTAATAACAATGAGCAGATGGCTATTTGAATTTCGCCGCAAGTACATCAAATTTCAAAGCAAAACTTTCCTTCTTCGGTTCAATTTTCAGCTCTTTGTACAGTTTCGCATTTTGCACCTGCAAATAATTGCGAATTCTGCAACTTATCATGTTAAATTTTCATATAATTAACAAACAAACAGATTCATTCGTCTCAAGAGACAGACAATGAAACAGTCCTGAAACTACTAGCGCTACAGCATACCGGTTCCTACGATTACTGTAACAGCGTCATTCGGGCTACAGTATCTTAAACTGTAATCAACTACATAACATCGTTCATTCGTCTGAAAAGGCCGACAACGAACAGGTGCCACAGTATACCGATTCCTACGATTACTGTAGCTGTGCTGTTCAGGCAACGGTTTTAAACTTTAATCAAATATGTAACATCGCTCATTCATCTGAAAAGGCGGACAACGAGACAGTCTTGAAACTACTGGCGCTACAGTATGCCCATTCCCACTATTACTGTAACCGTGCTACTCGGGGCTGCGGTACGCAAGCCCTCGTTACCGTAAACATGCTGCACAAGCTACCGTATGCCAGATTGTAACCGACTGCCAATTCATGAGTGTCGTCAAGCGGCAGTGCAAACACCAACTTCTGATGAATTTTCAAACAGTGAAACATTTATTCAGCCTCAAGCAATATTCTGGAGCTACTGTAATTTATACCGTATTCAACAAGTCTCAATATAATTTATACCGTGCTGCAGCTGCTTTCAAAAGGCTATTGTAAACAGTACTGCAGTGGGCGAGAGTGGTACACTGTACTATAGTTACTTGCACTGGTTACTGTATATAATAGCATGTAACCACCAAATACAGTATTATTCCACCTATATCTATGGTATAACAGTGAACTGGGAGAAAAGAAGACTCACATCGTTCACAGAAGGTGGTTTAACCACTGGCCCTTTCACAACTGGTCTGCCCATTTCACTTTTTGCTGGCCATGTTGGGAACAATTCTGGTGGTACCGGTGGTGGATATCGATCAAACCACTCATGATGCAAAGCATTTCGTGCAGTAATTCTTTTATTTGGATCATATGTAAGCATCCTGTAACAAAAAAAAGAAGTAAAAATCTAGATTTAACCAATGATTCGTGAAAAATTCATGCAAAATTTTGCACCAAAAATGAATGAATGCTTTACAAAAACAAGAATATTAAATCAAAAAAACTGCACCGAAATATAAACGAAAAAAATTTCAGTGTTTTTTTTAAAAAAATATGCATAAATCTTACAACCCAAACTATTTATATAACAAATAAGAGAAAATGACATACTGCTTGATGAACTGCAATCCACTTTCATCAATCAAACTTGGTGGGAACTTTTTCTCCAATTCACCCGGTTCATAATGTTCAAATTTCATCTTCCTTACAACAGGCAAACTGCTATAACCGGGCCAAATATTTTCATTTGGTGTTCCAAGACCCTAAAATTTTGTTCTTTTTTTTAAAACATTCAAAAATAAAACAGCTGAAAAGTAAGAAAACAGCGAAAAAAGTCACTGCGGGCACAACCACACTTAAATGGGAACACAGATTCTCTTCTGTGCTTTTAAAATTGCTTGAAATCAAATGTAATATTCAATTTTTCAAGGTCACCAATCCCCATAAATTGATCTTCTTCTTATTGCACACGCTTCAACCGCGTGTACGATCACGTCAAAGTTCGCAGTTTGGCACTGTGCTCATCTGGCAGATTATACGAAATCAACCTTTAAGTACCCTATCTTTCTCACACGGAATTTGAAGTTTACAGTTTTGAATTTCTCACTTACTGTTATGCACAAATTTCATCGAAAATTCAACCCTCTCTCTTAGTATCCAAATGACTCTGTAACTTTCTCCATCCGAAAACTTCAAACAACTCCCTTCCACAACGCCCGATTTGGTTATTCGTCCCCCTCCCCCCTCCCCCCTCCCCCCCTTCTCCCTCTCAGAACTTAAGGATTTAAAAGTAGCCTTTGAGCTCAATCATAACTCAAAATACAAAATGCAATTACTGCCACTGCTTAAATAAACATATTTGCGAGTTTAG